CCTTGTGCATAATTTTGCAAGGAAGCGTTTTGTATCTTACAGCTTTGACTAAAAGGACTAAATCTGGAGTATCTTTACTAAGCTTTTTTTGTCTGCATTGTTAAACTACTCTTTACTCTTATGGCTGAACTGCAGTAGTATTTTGATGTAAAGTGTTTGAGTGCAGAAATGGGCAGGATTGAATATAATGGAGAACCTGGAGGTGGTTCAAGGTGTGTTTTGTGAGACTATGTTTACTGGTTTATAAAATATGTGAAGACCTCTTAAAATAAGAGAGACTTCTTCCAGTTAAAATAACTAGCTGCAGTGATCTTTGCTTTGTTTAGACAGAAATATCATACCTTTTCTGCTTTCTTTGAAAACAGCATAGACTGGTTGAAGTTCTTCTAAGATTTCCTAAACCTCAAATACAAAAAAAAATTAACACAGGTTTTTTTTTTTTAATGATTTTGTGTCTGAAAATGGTTTATTTTAACTAATTTATGATTTTTATTTTAGGCTTCAGTCAGGTACATGATAGTATAGAATTCTGCCTGTTTAGTGTAAAACATCAGGGTTTTGAAACCCTTAGGTTGAAGAACATTCAGATCAAGAATTTCTTAGATATTTGTGATGCTATCATGATTAGGTTGTATCATGACTGAAATACCTTGATGGCTTAAGAATGTTACGCTTTCGAGGTAATACAGTATTTGTAGCTTTGCCTGTATGAAGCGTTGGTCAAAATAAGAAGTCAGGCTTGAAAACAAGAGAACTCTTTTTTTTTTTTTTTTTTTTCTTTTCTTTTCTTTTCTTTATCCTCCTCCCCCCAGTGATGGAACCTAAAATCTGTATACTGGTGGGGGGTGAGTCATACCATTCCACACACTTCTAAAGACTACCAGGATATATCAAGTACCATCTCTTTAAAATGTCATTGGCATGTGCTGGTAGAAAGGTGTGTTATGTCCCCTCTTTCTATCCTCCTTCTCCTCCAAGCAGCCCATTCTGCAGCAGGTTCTGAGCTGTATGCACTTGAGGTTTCCAGGCTGGGTCAGTGCAGTTAGCGTTACGATCTGCCTGTGCCTTACCCAGTATGTGTTGGTTGTGGTTTTGTAGCATGGGCTCCAATTGCATCAGGTCACCTTTCCGTTGCTCTTCAATGAGGGCCATGCTCCTGTGCTTCAGAAACACAGGGCAAGACAGATACTTGCACCCAGTCCTTACTTCCGAAATGCCTGGAAAAAGCTGTGTGTTACATTCAGTGGAGTATATTTTATGTAGTCTGCTTTAGGCTAGTGGTTCCCAGCTTGCAGATTCCCAAGTCTGATTCAAAGTCCAAGCAGATAGATCGAGTCAGCCACTGTCCAACACAGCATAAGGCCAGTCACTGTGTTCCTGTGTCACAGCTGCAGAAGCGGGAGAGCTGGAGAGCACCGCACAGAGAAGCTCTTTTCATTTGCAGTCCTGATGTTGCTGGAGCTGGTAGTAGTGGTAGCATGAGAGACAGCACTCCTGGATGGGGTTGGGCTGAGGAATTAGACCTACTGATAAATGAAACATTAACATGTCCTACTTAAGAGAAACAAGCCATAAAAGTTTGGAAATGTTTCCTCTCAGTATGTCTAGAAAGCCTTTCATGCTGCACTACAATTTTACTAAAACAACAGGCTCCAAATCGTGACATTCTGTGGTGGAAATGGGTAATCCTAATTCTACTCTTTAATGACATGGTAATACCCCTTTCCATAGGAGTTGGTTATAGCCCATCACAGTTCTCATAGAAGCTACAGCAGTATAAAAATGCTTGGAAATGTTCTATTATTTGTAAGTGATACAGAGGAAAGAAGTAACAACGTTGAGTAAAATAATGTTGACAGATGAGTGTAAAGCTGTGTAGTATCTTTAGTATGATGATCAATCTCCTGTCTTCTCTTAAGCTGCATTTTTGCATGCATGCATGCATACTCTCCATGTACTGGATGTAGAGTCATTCAACAGCCAAATAGTCTTACATTTGCATTAGACTTTTTTTGTCCAGCTTTCTCAATTAATTACAAGAGGACTTCTAAGTCATTTTGTACCCGAGTTACAAGGGTGTAACAGTAGCTTTGCAGCTAACTCAAGTCCTGCATCTGAAATGGCATGACCCTGTACCACCAGATAGGTGAGAGGCCAGCTGGCTAGGAAGCAGATTTGTGGGAAGGGAGCTGGGAGTCCCCACAGACAAGTAGGTTGAAGATGAGTCAGCAGTTCTTGCAGCAAAGAAGGCCAACAGCATCCAGGAGTGTAGCCAGCAGACCAAGGGAGATGCTTCTTCCTCTCTTCTCAGCACTGCTGAGGTGCATCCAGAGTACTGTGTCAAGTTCTGAGCTCCCCAGGGCAGAAGAGACATGGACATACTGGAGTGACGGGTTACGAAAACAGTTTAGGGAGCTGGAGCACAGGAGGCTGAGAGAGCTGGGTTTGCTCTGCCACAAGAAGAGAAGAATCAGGGGTGGTCATAGTGGTATCTATATCTACTTAATGGGAGGATGTAGAGAGGACAGAGTCATATCCTTCTCAGGTGCATAGTGAAAGGATGAGAGAGGCAGTGGACACAAGCTGGAACACAGGAAAGTCTGAATAGATACGCTTGACTGGGCAGATTTCTGAGCAGCCTGATATAGATGGTCCTGCTTTGAGCAGGGCATTTTACTTGTTAGTTCTGGAGATCCCTTGTAACCTAAATTATTCTGTGACTGTAATAAGAAAGTTACTAGTCGTTTATTTCACGATGTTAGAGGAAAGAAAGAGAGACAGGTGAGCATGATTTTGAAAACTTAATTCCTAAATCAAGAGTGTATGGTTAAGCTAAATTATAAGAGGAGAAGTATTACACTAATGTATCTGAATATAGGCTATTTATTTATGTGTCTGTGAAGCAAAATACAGAAGATTGTAAGTAGAGTTGATTGCTAAAGTTCAATGGCATATATATACACTTGGCCAAAGGTTAATGGTGCTCAGGCAAAAATGTAAATTTATGCATGTAAATACATTTAATATTAAGTGTCAAATGGCAATTCTTTTGAAGCTTTCCTTCTGCAGGCTTGGTTAGCTGTATAGGATCTTTCAGAGCATTATCAATCTAGTAGTATATTTGCTAATACTTCCTCCCCCCTCCCCCCGCCAGAAAATAAATTCAGGAAGGGCTATGTTGCCTCATATTCATTATTAGCTTTTTTATATGGACAATGGATTCTCTTAAGCTTGGTGCTAGCTTTTGTCATACATCTGTTTAAAGAGGCTGCAGGTTTAATCAATAAAGGTGACCGCATTGATTTCATAGGACATGTCTCTGCTTTTCAGTTAAGCTTGGTGCAGGAGGCCCTGTGTTGCCACTTGTATGGCTATATCGGCAACATGCTGAGTCCAAGCTAATAAGCCTTGCCTCTCAGCAAGAAAAGGAGTCCATTTTGAGAAACATAAGGATTCAGACTTCTTAATTTATGTAGGAGAAAGGCAAGAGATAATTTGATGGAAAGCTTTTTTAACAGTAAAAAACTTTCTAATCTAGTGAAAAAACAAGATAGAGACTAAAAGGTGCAATTTCATCCTATGGTGAAGTTAAATACTGTTGAAAGAATTGGTCTAGGGCTTTCGTATGTAATCTTTTACCAAAATCTTTGTAACTAACTCCACTCAGATGCACACACTCAGATTTTGTGTAGGTTTAACTTGATCTCATTGGTGGTGTGGTTTTTTTTTTTTCCTAATTGTTGGTATTTCAGTTTATCAAAAGTGGCATTGATTACAAATCTAACATAAGTTATAAATTTCAATATAAAACTAGGTGAGTGGTGTTAATGCATTATAAATCTTAAGGTTTTATATCAGCTTCTTCAGCAAAGAGAAGCAATTCAAGCTTGAAATTTTTATAGAAGAAATATTAAAACTTTAGAAAAAATTAGTTTTATAACTGTCAGAAAATCCATTTCAGTAAAATGACTGGGAATTTATGATTTGTACACTGTAGCTGTGGTTCTGAACAAATCTTAGATATTACAAATATTTTGGATAAAACCACTCCCAACTACTGAAACGTTTTACAACCTACTTAGTTCAGTTTGTGATGCAGATGGAATAATTCTGGGAATTCTTATGTCAACACTGGCTTGAACTCCCATTATATTCATTTCTATACACACAAAATGATATATCCACTGAGATCCTCAAGAATTGAGTAGATGATGCAATACTATGCTCTATTGTATTAAATGTTGGGGGTTTTTTCTTACAGGGTAAAATTCTCTACAAAGTACGGTGGAAAGGATATACCTCTGATGATGATACCTGGGAACCAGAGGTTCATTTGGAAGACTGCAAAGAAGTGCTGCTTGAATTCAGAAAAAAAATTGTGGACAATAAGCCTAAACCTGTTAAAAAAGACATACAGGTGTGTTTCACCTTGCAGTGTCTTACATTGAAGATGTATTCCCTATCTAGGCTCTGCTAATGGGAGGAGGGAGAAGGGAAGACATTTGGTATATGGAATTAAGAAGACTTAAAGAATCTCTTCAATCTAAAAGTGTTCTGTTTCATGTGAAACTGAATATTGTTGCTGCTCTCTGGTTAGGGATTTTTTTGTTAATTGACAAGTTTGCTTGTAGAGGCTAAGTCCATCTAAACTTTATTTCAGTTTTTAGTGGGACTATATGTATGATGTGTGGTCATTGTAGTTTGTTTTTGACAACATAAACAACCCCTTTTCCCTACCCACATGCATATTTTCTTGTCAGTGAAGCTGGGCACTGCTCAATTCACCCTCCTGCTTTGTGTAGCAGATTGATGAATTTTTGCATGTTAACCACTAAATTTGGTAAGATAGGAATGCAGAGAAATTAATTGCAAGAAGGCAGCATATGTCTTTTTCTTTTCTTTTTTAACTGCTCAGTCAGTTTGAAAATGAAGCGTAAGAATCTTTTTTGAAAACTGGTACCCTACTTCTGGGAAACCTATGGGTAAATTTTACAAAATCACATTAATTGTTTTTGATGTAAAATAGTTCAGATTTAGTTCTGTTCTGGAATCTGGTTGTTGGATGTCTGATTGGTTTACTTGACTTGTTTATGCATTGATTCTCATCCAAGCAGTTAGTAATGTAATTTAGGTAAATGAGCTAGAATTGTATTTACAAATTTTACAAATTTTACAAAAATTTACAAAGTTTGTCAATGAGGAATAATATTTCAAGTGATAAAAAGGTTAAAGTGTTTAAAAGCTTACTTTTCCCAAGCACCACCACTACCATTTTTGTATAGTTTACACCAAAGTGATACAGTTTAATGCGGAAAGAAATCTTTTCTTTTTTTCTCTGCCCTTTAGAAACTATGTCTAAATAATGATGTATTTGAAGCAGAATCTGACAGTGACTGGCAAAGTGAAACAAAGGATGATGTTTCACCAAAGAAGAAAAAGAAAAAGTCAAAAGATGGAGAGGATAGAAGTCCAGATGATCTGAAGAAGAAAAAGTCTAAGTCTGCAAAACTCAAAGAAAAACCCAGAACAGAATGTGAAAATTCCTCAGATACTTTGGTTTCAGATTCAAAACCAAAAAAAAGGACTTCAGAAACCAAGGAGGATTCAAAGGACCCAAAGAAGCAAAGGAAAGAAGATACTAAAGAAATCAAGAAAAAGAAGGGAGACGTTAAAGATTTAAAAATAAAATCTAAAGAAGATCCTAAAGAAAATAAAAAATCACGGAAGGAGAAGCATGGAGATACTCAGTTTGACTCAGAATCAAGTATTCTAGATGATGTATTTTCTCAAGGAATTGATAATGAAAATTCAGACTTAAATCCTGAAAATAAAGACGAGAAGCAAAAGGTAGTAAGTGGAGAAGAGAGATTGGAACAAGAAATTGCTGAAAAAGATTCCATTGCTGATAGGCATCTTGATGGATCAGCAAGCAATGAAGATGATAGTATTGACGTTAAGGTTAAAAGAAAGAAGAAGAAAATTCAGAAAGCTGAAGATTGTAAAGAGGACGCTAGAAAAGTGGAAACTCAAGATATCTATTTAGACAAGAAAAGCATGCACAAAAAGCAAAAATGTCAAGAAAAAGTAAAAATGGTACCAGCAGAGTTGGAGAAAGTGTCACCTGCTCCTTCACCAGTGCAGAAGGGTTTGAAATTGAGCTCTGATGAAAGAGGGCGTAAGTCCACTGATTCAGCTGGGGAGGTAAGCAATGTTAAGGCATTGGGGTGGGGGCTGGGGATTAAATGAAACATCTTTGAGGATGGCAAATAGAAAAATACAAATTGGAAAGTTAATAAGCTGGATGAAGCTAAAGAAAGGCCCACTGCACAACGTATAGGAGATATTGAAAAATTTCTCGATTCTGATCACTATGAAGGAGGGAACACTTTCGGATAGAAGGGTGTCTTTAAACGTGAAAGTAGGAATTTCTCCTGTTTGTTATTTGTACTTACTTAGAATGAAATTTACTGTTCCTCCAAAGCATGCTGTCATTTTTAGCTTTGTTCCTCCCACCTTCAACAGTTGCCTCAGTTTGACTTTTTTCTACTTGTGTAGTAAGACATTCAGTCTTGAACAACTATCCATCCAACACTGTACAATGAAGTGCGCTTTTGAGCTAAAACACACAATTGGTCTCTCTCAAAAGCCAGCCACTGCGTTATACCTTACATGCGTTAGCACCTACCTGAGAATTGGAATGCTGAAATTGCTTCTAAACCCAAGTCTCCCAGATAATTGTGCAGCTGGCTTGTCTTGTTAGAATTCCTGAGGTGCTTACAGAAAATGCTTAGTTTCATGACATGGTTTCATATTAATTACAAATGCTGTACCTGTTCTAAGAAATGAGCTAAGCAAATACTGGAATATTTGTTTTTCCTTATTTAATACAGTAGTGTTTTAAGAAAAGCAGGTAAAAGAAAAAAAATTAGTGGAAAAAAAAACCCCAATATTTTTGGAATGTTTCTGAGAGTATAATTTCTTTCAGCTGCTTCAGACTGTTGTAATACAGTTTGCAGTTGATAAAACTTCGGCTGCTCAGAGAAAGCCCTTTCTGATTTGTGACAGGATTACAGCCAAAACACCTTGATACCTACTGGATTATACCCCGATTCTTCTGAGGCCATAATTCTGTGGCGGCAAGTTTCTTCTGTAGGTTCAGCTGTGGTCCTCTGCTTAAGATTGTTGTATGTATGGAGTAGGCCACCTTAAACATAAGGAAGTTGATTTTGGGGTAGACAATTAAATGGCATAATCTCAGAGTAGAGCTACACAGAGTAGTGTTTTTGCAGGACCTTAGTGGTGAAAGCTCTTGTAAAGGTTAAGCAATTACTATGAGGCATAGCCCAGTTTCAAAAAGTTACTTCGTTAACTGAAATGGTACGGCCCTTTATTACTCAAGTATTTTCTCGTAGTTTGAGGCTATAGCATTCATAAGAGAGAGACATCAGTGAAGATAACCAGATAAATTTTTGGAGTTCTGTTTTATTTAGCAGTAGTATAAAAATTCTGTCACGCCAAACATGAAGAAATAAACAGCAGATGAAGGTTGGTTTGCTTATGTCTCTTCAGCCAGCACTCTCAGAAAGTTGTCTGTATGCCTTTCTCATGGTCGTGCTCTGTGGAATGCTCCAAGGAAGCAAGGAAGGCATTCTGCTTTTTGCTTTTTTTAGTCTAGGAGGCTTAAACAATGTTTTTTGTACCTGGTTAGTTATTCTCCAGAGCAGCTGTGGACTTATTATATGGGTGGGTTTGGTGGATAGTTCTGGAGGTTTTTTGGCTTCACTAAATCTGTTGGGTCAAGCAGATTATTCTTTTCAAATAAAATCATTGTGTATGTTTCAGCTACCTCTCTTTCCTTATGTAGCTCTGATTACAGAACACTGTCATGTCAATTTATAATTCAGTATTCTCTGTTTGGAATCAGTTTGCATGACGAACCATTCTTTCTATTCGATTCACCTCCAAAAATAAATGTGCAGTGTATTTATGCACCTGATCAGCATTGGAAATCTGGAATAGAATTCAGGATTACTGATTTTAACAGCCCCTCTGTGTAGCAAATATCTGGTAATCCATTTAGTACGTTACGGGTCTCCTCCTAAATACTGGGCATCTGCCAGGATTAACGGCGCTCTGTGCTACTAGTTAATCATGTCAGTGATCAAAAGCTGAGGTTTTGAGGGGGGGAGAGGGGGAATGAGAAAGGCAATTAAATGTCTCAGCTCTGCTAACACATTATGATACACCAAATTCACCTATTTTAATTGAAGGTTTTCCTACATCAAAGAAATGGTAGCATTTAGTGATAAATTCAGTCTGTAGTTCTTGTGGGAACTTCTTTTGGGGCAGTTTTTCAGAAAGCCAGTGCTATTCCATGTACCAGGTTGGTGTCAGGGGCTGATATAAAGCCATGCCAAAGAGCTTTGTCCCATCTACTCTGCAGTTTGGAGTTTGCTGGCTGAATGGAGAGAGGGGATTACAGGAGGAGAAAGGGAACCTTTGGTGGAGGCAGTTGAATTCTATTTTGGTGAATTTGATTATATAACTATCTCTACCATAAGTTTCTTCTGTAATATTGGATATTGCTAAGCTCAGTCTTCTGTGTGGGTATGGTGGGTTTGGGTGGATTTTTCCTGAGTGTCTGTTTTTCACAAATGACTGCTGCCATAACGTTCTGTATGTGTAAATTGGAACCTTCTGTATACAAATGTCAAGTTTTCTCAGTTAAGGTTCAAGTCAGTGCTATCATAACTGTTTTGAATATGGTGCTACAAAGGTGTTAAATAACTACATTCTATTCGGGTTCAGTATTTGGAACAAATTAAAAGTTCTTAATTTTGAATTTCCTTCAAAATGTTGGTTTTGGCATATCTGCACCTTATGCCATAAGACACCTTGCATGGCTGGGATGCAGTAAAAATCTGAATTGAAGTTGTTTTATTTTGGAAATAACACCTCTTCTCTTATGGAAGAAGCCTTCACAGACTTCACTCCTAGCTCACCTGTTTAATTCTTTTCTTAGGAATGTCCACAAGTCTGTTATATGCAGGTTTCAGTAGTATTAATTTTAAATATATTTTATCGTTGGCGTGGTGAAAGGAGTTTATTTTCCATTTTTTGTCTACCACTTTAATTTGATCTTTGTTCTCAATATCAGGAGAAAGAAGTAAAGAAAACTGAAACGAAAGAAAAATCTCAGAAAAAAGAGTCTGAAAAAGAAGAAAAGAGCAGAAAAGAACAAAAGGGCCTAAAAAGTAAGTGCTAACTGCTTAAAAGAGAGAAGGGAAAGACCGTTGAGGACATTATCCTCTTATTTCTACAAGAGCAGATATTGTATAGTTTTGTAACACATACCAGAAACAAGAGTTTTTGCTTTTATTTTAGGAAGCAAAAGTCTGCTGTTTAATGGCTTTGTTAATATATGCTTCATCAGGATGCTGTGTGTACTTTCAATGTATGAAGCATGGAAGTGTATAGAAATCTTTAACATTTTTGTAGATAAGTCAAGATTTTGCCCGTTTTTCATTTAATATTGTCAACTATGCTTCTGTGGCATGTACCAGTAATCTTTTTTTAGAGGAATTCATCCAACTATTGGCTTATTTCCAGAAGTGTTCTGATAAGACTATGAATACACACTTTCTATGTTGAGAAGAACTAGTAGAGGTTCCCATCAGACAAACTTCTTGTCTCTTGCTTTAGCCACAGTGATGAGTTATACTGTACAACCCTTAAAATATCACCAGAACTGGATGATTTGATACATGAAGAAAAATGTCTAGGTTGTATTTCTATTCTTAATAGTATAGTGGAGTATTAATGTTACCCCTCTTGATCTCAGTAAAAATCTGGATTATTTTATTCAGGATAATTTCCTTTACTACTCTGATGAGGATGAACAGAGGAAAACTAGGTTAACTTCATGTTTGATAATCATGAATCAAATAGGAGGAGCTATGATGCTTTAATAGCTGTTGCTAGAGAAACGTCTTTCACTGAAAGTGGCATAGATGCTTACAATGCTTAAGAAAAGTAGTAACAAACAGAATGATTAATTATTGTTCCCTATACAGCATGTGTCCTTTGTCTGTTCATCAGATACAGATACTGAGCCATATTTTCAAAGTAGTAATTTACGCATAATTCTAAACTACATTTCTTAAAAAGACGGTACTGTGTTGAAAGCAGTCAGAACTCAGACTTGCCAGGGTAGCTGGAGGAGAACTAGCTCTCCCTTATTTTTGCCTTATGTTGTTAAGCTTGCTCCTACGCTTCAGCAATGATTAACTTACGGAAAGAGAACAGACCTCTTCTAAATGGACTCTGGTCACTCACTTAAACTTTGTTATGTAATAGTCTTTAGTGGCTCAAGTAGTCACTCTTCGTAACTGTCTTAATATTCTAGGCTTTAAGGACATCAAAAGTGCATTTGACTTGTTTAATGTAGCTTCAGAAGAGAAAAGTGAATATTCTGAGAATAACTGCAGAAGAGAAGAATCTTCGCTAGAATATAAATTCATAGAAGAATTAAAATCAAAAGACAGCAAGGTGTACAAGGAAAGGAGGAACATAAGAGATGAAACAGACACATGGACTTACATTGCTGCAGAAGGTGATCGAGAAGTAGTGGATGTGTGTCAAATGGAGACCTCTGGTGAGCAGTAGAAACAAATGCAGGGGAAAGTTGAGCACTGGCAGTTAATATTTTTTCCTGCTTGCATCTTCTAGTGCTCCAATTCTTGTCTCCCCAGGCGGCTAAAATGATGTTTTCTTCTGAAACTCACTGATAACTTTTCAGTGTGTTTCCAGTGTGTTTCTGCTATTATGGTAATGGACTGTTCGCCATATTTTATCACTTCAGCCTAATTTATTACAGCAAATAAGCAGTTTGCTTCAAGTAAAAGCATTTTATGTCTGTTTGTAACGTAGCCTTCATTGTTTAGAACCATTCCACGCTGACTTCCAGAGTCTATTTGGATGAAAAGTAGTAGTATGTTAAGCTGCTGATCATTGAAGCAATGGCAAGCAATGAATGGTTTGGAAATTTGTAAGTTACTTACTACTTATTTTACATTTTTTCTTCCATAAAATCAAATACATGATAGATGGCAAGCAACAAGTCTTGAGTTTGGGTATGGACATGCAGTTAGAATGGCTGACACTAGAAGACTTTCAGAAGCACCTTGATGGAGAAGATGAGAATCATGTGTCAACAGAACCGATATCAAGTAGTGAGTAGTTGCTGGGAAGAAGGGACGTTTCTTAGCTGGCATTTCAAAGTGAAATATCCTATAACTGCATTGAATTTATTTTCTAGCTCTCCTGAGGGATGCTGTTAAAAGTGGAGATTATATGACAGTAAAGATGGCACTTTCGTCAAACGAGGAATATAATCTGGATCAAGAGGTAATTTTTCTGCAATAGAAGTGTTGGAGGGGGGCGGGAGGGAAGAGTACAAGTTTGGATTGATTGAAAAGTTTTCCGCGCTTGCTAGTAGCAGATTTCTGTCTCACCTTGGGAAAAAAGCACAAGGTGAGAAAAGGGAGTACAGAATTTGAGGCTTCAATATTTGTTATCCATTTCTTCCAAAGAAAAAGTGAAGTTTGATAGAAGTAAAGTTTGATGATACATCCCAGTAGCTGGATTTGCAGCAGATTTGCCCACTGGATTTAACTAAATATTGAATTTAGAACTTCACATGGTATAAGGAATGATGATACCCATCAGGTCAAGTGCCTAACTATGTAAAACATCTATACAGGAAAAAAAAACCCCAACCCTGAATGTTCTGTCTGACAGACTAGGACCACTTCACTCCATGAATAATTAGTTTTCTGCCAGTTGTTCATCAGCTGTGTTCTTACTGGTTTTTCACTCAAGGATCTGGTTTCCTGTTGAATAGTACTACAGTTCCATTTTTGAGGATTAAAATCTCTGATACCAGTATTTTCACTGGTGATCTTGTGTAGTTGTGTTATGTAGCATTTTGAGAACTATACATTATGCTAAGACTTCTGTGGTGTAGTAGAAAAGATGCCAAATGAACTACTGAGGCAAGCATGTGTTCTTTGAATTGTAGTGTCTGGTGGAAAATGCAGGAATGAGTGAGGTGACTGGCCACTCACAGAAGTCTCTTCATACTTACACTCTGATAAAATCCGAAAGCAGTGTTGTGGTAGCAGCTGACTTGAGCCATTGTGTTTTTCCTCCAGTGGCAGCTGATTTCTTTTTCCACTGTCTTGCTGTCTTCCCCACCCTCAAATACCTTGCCTGCCTTTCTTCCTGGCTCATTTTGGTTTTCCTCCTTGTTCTGGTCCTCGGAATGTTACGGGTTTTGCAGATTATGGAGCTCAGAGTGGGAGGCCTGTGGACAAGAGAAGTGGGAGGTGATAGTTTGTTGGTATCTGGCAGCTATGTGTGTGTGAATTCTTCTCCCATGGAGGGGAATCTTTGTGAAACCTGTTGACGCACTTGCAGTTTTTGTCTTGCGGCTTTGATTTATCTTAAAGTTTTTTTGGATTTTGTGTTTTTTTTTTTTTTTCTCTTTTTTTAATGGCAGTGATTCTTGTTGTAGGACTCAAGTGGAATGACCCTAGTAATGCTTGCTGCTGCTGGTGGGCATGATGACCTTCTCCGAGTCCTAATCAGGAAAGGAGCTAAAGTTAATGGTAGACAGAAAAATGGAACAACTGCATTGATACAGGCAGCTGAAAAGGTTGGCTTGGTTATTGTCATATTTGTGGTTCTTGTCTCTTTTACTTACGTTTAAAAGTGGTACACAATTTTTTTCCCTTGCATGATGCCTGAAAAGTAGTTAGCAGGATATAGCAGGGTGACCTTAACTGCATAATTTCAGCTGTGGTTACTGTAATGTAAATAAATTCTGATCACAAACCCTACCCTGAGTAGAGAGTATCATAGGGCTACCTAGAGGGCAAGTGGATGCAAAGGGTATCTCTGAATTTGTCAGTCATGGGGGCTGAAGTTCTTGTGTTAGAACTGCTTATTAGAATCTCTGGCTACAGAGGATCCAAACTTGAGAGACTTTGAGAGCAAATCTCTGATTAAGCAGGGTTTACTGTTTGAGAGTTGGGAGGTGGAGACGGTGGCAAGCTCTTCTCGAACTGGGACCAACTAGACTGGTAAGTTTACAGGAGGTTTCCTGCGTGCGCTCTTTTGTTCAAGTGGGTTCATGTGTTTTCCCATGTACAGTAGATACAAGGCCAAAAGGGAGCTTGATTCCAGTTTGGTGATTAATGCGAACATACTATTTTCTTCCTGTGGTGGTCACTATTGCAAGATTTAGAAAAAAGTAAGAACTGTAAATAATCACGGCTATCTGCTTGCCTGAGACTGAATTGCTCTTTATTAGCCATGGGAGAGAACAATGTTAATTGTGTCATGCCTCATGCTTTGGATTTTACTGATGGATTTTAAGTAAATGTCACTTTATATTCTGAAACAAAACCACAATATTTTCTACTTACTTGTCTTTTGGGTTTTTTTCAGAATTTTCTAACAACAGTAGCTATTCTTCTGGAAGCTGGGGCATATGTGAACATGCAGCAGAGCAGTGGTGAAACTGCTTTAATGAAGGTAAATTCAATGTTTGTCCTAACATGGTTTAATAGTAAATACTTTTGGCAAACTAATAAAACATAAAGGCATATTTGTAGAGTTGATTTAGGGAACGTGTACTATATTTGAAATACTACTCTTAGTTATTCTAGGCAATGTTTTAATCCATTTTTTTAATTTACTGTTATATCTAAACAATAAATGTAGATGCCATAAGCATACAGTGTTAAATGTGGCTCGTCATGCTCTTCCATTATTTGCCTCAAAGAAGTGCAGATGTGGTCTTAAAACTGAG